AGCCAGGCACCCCTCAGTACACCCCAGCAAGCAGACACCTGGCAGCCATCCCACCTCTGTGTGAAATGGGAACATATGCTGCAACTATTGTATAATCAGCTCCATGAACCCTACTTTTGAAAGTATCTTTCATGATATCATTCCTCTATTCAAAAACTTCTGGAGCTCCCATTGCCCAGAAAATATATCCCCAGCCACTGTTGGACACCACAGTCTTTTCCTCTGGGTCTCCAATGACTGTATGGTCTCCCACCCAACTTTGGCCAAGCCCACTGGCCCCCAGCTGCTGTCTGCCTCCTCCTTAATCACACTCTGTTTCATCTGCGGGCCTCTCTTCTACTTGGTGTGAGCTCCTTTGAGCCAGACATGTTTGTGTCACCCACTCCTGCCACATACTTCCAGTACACAGACATCAAGGAGGTGCCTGGTGATTGGGTCAACCCAAAGCTGCGCCATCCACTCTCCACAGAGTGGCAGAAACATCGTTTCTAAAGGTCCAACTTGACTGTTCCTGTGATAGCTTCTGCCATGACTCATGCCTGAAACCAAGCTTGTCTCCTCTGCCTGATACAGAGGCTCACCAGGATCTGTCCTGCCTCAGCCAAGACTCCTGTCTCATTTCTTTCCCATATCCTTGGGAGACTTCCCTGAGCCCCATACTTTCTGTCTTCCCAGGATGATCTTGACATCCTACAAAGCCATCTTCTCACTGTCTCTTAGAAACTTCTTACTGTGCCCAGGACCCATGCACTGGGGCCTCTCTGTCCAGCTCCCTGGCAAGCATCTTGCCTGTTTGGCTAAGTCTTTTACTAGGATTGGGGATCTGTGAGGACAGGGACCACTGATCATTGCATCCCTAGAGTCTGACCTGGAAAAGATGGACAACTACCACTTTCTGAACATATTGCTCCACTTTGCTCCTTAGGCTGCTCTTTGGCAGGTAGACTGCAGCTGCAAGACCCACCACGGAGCCTGTAGTGATCTGTGCAGCTGTTGCACACCCCTTTCAGGACTGAAGATGCCATGCACCACACTGCCCTGTTCCTGCCTTAGTTCCCAACTTTGCTCAGAGTGTCAGAGCGGAATCAGTTGTCCAGCTTACCCAAATCAGGAGATACAGAAGGCAGGGGAAAACATCTGCTGCCACTGTATCCTTTGCTTTCTTTGGCAGTTGCATGATAGCAGAAGTTCCCAGTATTTCCTGATGAGAACAAATCACCACTGCTGAAAATTCCTATAAGACTTTCTAACCAGACTGTAACTGCCCTGAATCTGCAACACTTGGTTTCTGCAGATCCCAGCAATCTCACGGTTGAAAAGCCATCTTCTTGACCCAGGGTCACTGGGGCCAGGAAGCTGTCTGCTGTTGCCCTCAGTCTCTTGAGGCCTGGACCTGACAGGCCTCCACTCTTTCCCTCCTCAGGATGCAGCACCCTCAGCTTCTCCCAAGCCTGAGCTCTTCCACAATCTGGACATCCTGCGGGCATCCTGAGGCCATCGCCGCAGGGGATCCCAGCTCCAGTGAGAAATAGGAAGTGAGCAATGGATGCCTTTCATACAGAGGAGGGAAGAGCTCACTGAGGTCCAGCTGGAAAGACCCCAAGGCAAGAGCTGAAATTTCAGACTGGTCAGGTGAGAGGTTTGCACTATCAGCAACTCCCTACACAACATCCGATCTCAAGAGGCCTGGTAAGTGATCTTGGATGTGCAGGACAGTAACCCAGGGCTGAGAGTAGATCTCTCTGAGACCGACACCAGCCTGACACATTAGGGGTCAGCTCTCCTGCAGCTTAAACAAGCTACCTAAAGGCAGTGGATGAACAAAGCACAGATTACCTTCTTCCTTCTATGGCACTCATGGGGAGCTCACATTACAGGCTCTTCCTTGCATTTACACAGTGTATTGCAGGTCAGGGTACCTTCAAACACGGCACCTCATTCGACCACACAGTAATATTTTTGCAGAATGGCACACATAATATCCCTTTACAAACAGGTATCTGAGGCTCTGAGAGCTTGAATGACATGCCCACAGAGCCTTCTCTTGGAAGTAGCAGGGGTCAGGGCTTCAACATCAAGCCACATACCTGTTCTATGCAGCCAGGTGAGTCCTGGCTTCTACATTTGGTCAAATCAGCAGCATTTTTTAAAGCCTGAAGCTGAGACTCAAGTTACTCCAGTGGCACTGAAAACTGTGGATGCCTGGGATGCGTCTTAGGAAAGCAGGCTGGAAACCACCCCCAAATCACTGAGGCAGATGGCCTGAGACAAGCCCCAGTGCCTCAGGTGATACAGCTTGAGGAGGTCGGTGTTAGCACCCCATGCCTTCTGCTCTGCTGTGGCTGACTTCTCCAGCTCTGCCTGGGCAAGCAGCTGGTGGGGGGGGGAGTGGAGAAAAGAAACTTCCAACTCTTTCCAGATAACCTGAAAGAGTCTGGCTTATCTGTGTAATAGGTCACTATCTGTCCTGTCCCTCAGCAACTTCCTAACATTTCCAGCCAACAGATCAATCTCTGCAGAATGAACCCTCTCTGGCATTCATTTTGATAAATGCATGAAGATGGAAAATGTGATTTGGATTTTCCTTGATTCTGGAAGTTCTAAAATCTGTTTGAAGTACTCCCATCTGAGCTGTAACAGAGTCGTGATTTCCCAAAGGAGGTCTGTGATGTCAAGCTCTTCTTTTCCCTCTAGAAGGGAGAATCTTCACCCTTCCAGTGGCTTTGGCTGGGAAATTAGCAACTCTGCTCAGTCTTGGGCCCTGGGTGCTCATCTTCTGGGGATAACAGAGCTTACACTTAGGGAAATTTTTACTAAATGGTATGTATGGCTAAGCTTGGTGACAGAAATTGGATAGGGTTTTAACTGGCTTCAATAATCAAGTTACAATTATCCTCCTCTCCCTCCAATGAACACAACAGTCACTTTTTGGGCGCTTCTTACAGGAACACAAAAGACTGAAATCAAGGCATGAAAGCCTTTCTGGGTATAACTAATCCCCTTCAGTAGCCTTTCATTTCTCCCTGTCTTGGCCTTTCAGCAACCTCTGAGCTTGATTCCTAAGGCATGGTTTCCAGCACCATGGTTTAACTGGTGCCAGGCCTGATTTAAGGGGCCAGCAGTGCTAGTCTTGTCCCCAAGTAGGTGTGGCAATGGGGCATGTTTAAAGCACCAGCTGTTCAACTGTTGGAGGAGTGGGCTCTTCCAGCACACAGGCTGATGGTAGCAGGAAGGAACATTAATTATTTTTCCCCCAAATTCTTTTTATTTCCAGTACTAGAAATTGAACCTAGGGCCTTCACGTCGGACTACATCCATAGCCCTTTTTGATTTTTTTTTGGTGGGGGGGATAGGATGTCACTAAATTGCTAAGTTCACCAGGCTAGTCTTGAACTTACAACTGTTCTGCCTCAGCTTTCCAGAATGCTCTGATTATAGGGGTGATTACCATGTCCAACTCTAGGAATTTTTTTTTTTTGCAAGAAAGGACTAATTTTTATTTTTTGGTTAGGGGAAGCAGCAGCACACTGCTCTAGTCAATTTAGAGAAAGGCAAATTCCTAGTTACAAACCAAATTCACTTTGGGTCACTTAACTATCAAATACATCCTTTATTGATACACGTTTTTCCCTGTGACTAGAAACAGGCCATTACCTCACTCGTGCCTTTGGGAATATCTTGGCCCCATCAAAGCTCCTAAAACTATTTGGTTCCATCTGGCTTTGGCTGCTGTTCAGAAGTGGTACATTAAGCACCTTCTTAGCTATTTCTGGCAGGCTCATGAGCCACTGGTTAAGTCACCACGGAGGCTGGCCCAGACCTGGGCTCCTACCTCCAGGCTCCACGCGCGGTGTGCCTTGTCTCCAGGACCTGCTCCAAACCCTTTCACTGAGGGGATGTGTGAGGCTGACTGTGAGGTTCAAGGCCAGCTCCCCCAAGAACCCTTTGCGCTACAATCTGTGCTTGCTTTCCAAGTTAGTCTTTAAAGGACCAGGTCAAATTCCTTCCAAACGTTAAAAATGGCACTTGCATCTCCGACTCTAACTCCACAAGGACATAATGGCAGATTCCAAACAAAAATTCTGACCTCAGTGTAGACTTCTATTCAGAAACCTCCTTGCTCCTTGGCCCCTGTGATGGCTTTAGCTGTGCTGTGACTTCAGGGCTGAGGTCTGAAGCAGATGGTCAACAAGATTTGGCAACTTTTGTGGGTATGTGTTGATGGGGTGTGGGGGAAGTGAAAGAGAAGGCAATGGTAAAAGGCTGGCTAGTCTTCCACTTTCAATTTTTGTTCACCTTTGGGGCTGACAATAAATGAGCTCCCAGGGCCTGCAGTGATACCTTGTCCAGCAGTCTTTCTTGGGGTTTACTGGCTATCAGATTTGGTCCAGACCTTGACACAGTCCATGAGGGTCTCTACCTGGTGCAGCCACTATGGCACAGATGAGTGCATGGGCCAACACCAAGGAGAGTGGGGGAAGGCCTGCTGTATACCGAGGCAGGGGCTCAGGTCAGGCTGACTTGCCTCATTTTGAAAGGGACACCATTCCAATGGCCTCCATGTGAGAAAATATAGTCTGCAACGAAGTCCAAATGCTGCGGTGGTTTTGATCACCCCGCTGCCAAGACATGCAGATCCACACAATCACATAAAGGGAGGAGGAAAATCTTCCTTGGAAAAATCTTGGAAATCAGATGGGGGTGGGGTGGGGAGGGAGGAGCAAGCTTCAGGAAGCTGCCAGGTTACCCCAGCCTGGTGGGGCTCCCAATGAAGGCTTAGCCACCCAGTTCTGCTCAGATTTCTATGCTTCCTGGGCCTTATCCAAGGCCAACTCTTCAAGATGCTTCCACAGAAAGGAGTGCCACTGCACAGGCGAAGGTGGAGACAAGGGGACTCAGTCGTCCCGACTGGGGAGAAATTTGGTCCTAGCAGCCTGAGAGCACAAGCCCACCGCTCCCCCCCAGCCAACAGTTGAGTGACCGGCGGCCAGAGGCCCTACCTGTACCTCTGCTTCACAGACTGCTTCTCCGTGGACTTGCACACGTGGCCCGCGTAGTACAAGGGGAAGAACAGAAAGTTCCAGTTGGTGGCGAACCAGGTAAGGGTGAAGGGAGCGTCGAAGGTACGGAAGGTGAGTTTGGCAAGCTGTGCGGCACCAGCCCAGGAGGCGCAGACGCACAACACCACGGCCACGCCCCAGAAGGTCTTCTGCAGCTGCCCCCGTGAGCAGGTCCAGCGCCGGCGGCTGGTCCTCCCGCCAGCATCCGATCCCACCGATGCTGGGGCCTCCGTCGGGCCCGGGGGCTCCTGGGGGCGCTCCTCCCCTGGGGAAGAGAAGGTACATTAGCCTGGCTGCTGGGGCCACGGGGTCATGGACAGACACCCGGGGGCAGGGGGTGAGGTGGGATGCAGGACAGATTCCTGGCCAGGCCGCCAGGGGACACTGCTGCCAAAGGCTTCTGCACCGGTTCCTACCCTCTAAAGCCTGGCCCTCCGAGAGTGGGCGGCAGGCTGGACACATTAGTGCATCCTACCTCTCTCCCATCAGTTCACCCCCACCTCCCAGACCCCAGCTTGTGGAACTTGCAGAAACTCAAGCCTCATCCTAGACCCTTGAGCCAGAACTCAATTTTAACAGGAGACATCATGCTTGGATTTGGGAAAGCTTCTCCAGAACACACAGTAGCAGGAATCACCCACTCTTATTTATGTCAGCTCCAGTGTGCAGAGTGCTCCTGGGCTGTTGGCAATGCTAGCAGCTGGGGGCTCCCACCAGAGAGGAGCACCTATGAAATGTTCAGTGCCTTCATGGGGCTCCTTCCCGCCCGCTAGTGAGAGGTGCAGATGCCAAGAACCTCTTCTTATTCTGCACGTTCAGCAGACACAGACTCCATGCCCTCCTTCCCACCTGCTCCAACCAGCTTCCTGAGCATGGCTTCCAGCCCCACTTCGAAGCTTTACTTAAAAACCACAACCCGCTGCAGCTCTTGTGTGAGAGAAAGGCCACAGCCAGAGACACTCCATTATAGAGCCGTGTCACTTCGGGAAACCAGGCATCAGCCCCAGGCTGGGCTCTGCCTTGGGTGTCCATGGGCCGTGAGAAGGTGAAAGGCGTTATTTTCCACTGTTTGCTTTTCATTTGTGATGGTGTGCTGGTCAGCTGGAAATTTAAACAGAGCTGTAGTTTGTGTCTGGGCTGCCAAGGGCAGATTCAGATTTCCAGAAGGCAGCAGTCTTGCTTTTCTTTTGTCCTTCTGGTACGGAGCTGAAAGGGGCACACAGGTGCTCAGAAGCCCTTCACTACAGGTACAGGAGGAAATGAGTGAAACTACAGTGGAGTCAACGTATTCTCTGCACATTGTTTAAGCTTTGTGGCCATTTACATCACTCAAATAATACTGAACCAAATTTTGCATACTTTCTGATTAGGCAAAATCCTGGCTCAGCCTGGGCCAGTGGTGGCCAACCTATGGCACGTGTGCCACAGTGGGCACACAGAGCCCTCTGTGTTGGCCCTTGAGCCAAGTTGCCCCAGCATCACCCCAGCACACGAGCACTCAGGTTTAACTGCAGTGCTGGCACTGGGAGATAAATAAGTGCGCTTGAAGTTGCAGTTTGGAATTTGGGCATTTGGTCTCTAAAAGATTCACCGTCAGCGGCCTAGGCTGTGATGCTGCTGTTAGGTAACGCTGGTTTGAACTGCAGGCCCAGGCTATCTCTCTTTTAGCCCAAGATAAACCTAGGCATTGCTGGCAGTGAAGGAGTCAAAACATGTTTGACACCACCTCTGTTGGTGTCAAATGCGTGATTCGTTAATGTGGAATCGCTTTCTTTCCGCGTGCACCCATATTGGAAAGCCAAGTTTCGGGACTCCCTTTGAGTTTATGACACACACAATCTGTCCCTGCAGGTGAGGAGTGCCTTTTGCCTTGCGCCCTCCACCAGGCCTTCTGACTTTGCTTACAGTGATTCCCACAACTTCAAATTCCAGACAGAAGCACCCGTTTTTCTCCACATAGTTACCTGGCAGTTTTCCTTAGCCACTGCAGCCTTTCATTATTGGGGTGAGGGTGGGGGGAGGGCCGTGAGGTAGATTCCTTACTATTCAAATCCCTGCCATGAGCACCCACGGAAAGATGACCGTGGAGATGATTACAAAGCCCACGCAGGAGCAAAATGTAGCCTCACAGTAATAACTCCCAGCTTTAGGGTGGACCCCGGAGCAGGCTGCAGACATTCGGGCTCAAGGCCTGCGCTTTCACTTATTTCATTTCAGCAAATGAAGCATCACAGCTTCAGGCACTGAGCGACAACGCTGCGTAGCTTTTACGATAAAGGAGAAAATCAAATCGTGTAATTTCATATTGCCAAAATGTGTCTATTTGGATTTAAAAAGGTGTCTTCTAATCTTGGGACCTCTCTGGATTCTCTAGCCGAAGAATAGTAACCACACACAGACAAGTAAAGATCCCCAAGCTAAACTCAGTATGCAATAATTTAAAACTAACAACACATAAGGTACAGCCATGTTTCCCCAAGTATAATGAGGTTATAGGCATTTACAAGAAAAAAGCATCCCATGATTAAGTTCAGAAAGTATTCAATAGAACTCACAGGTTCTCTTGCTGTAGGAATAGAATATCCAGGGCTAATGGAAATGTTGTACATTTTCAACAAGTTGCTATAGAATGCACACTTGCCATATTATTTACATGTGTGACACTCACGGTGTAGACTAGCACAGCCTGGAACACACTTTGGGGAACCCAAGGCTGATGGAGAATAATAGGCAATGAAATCTATTTCATTGCAAAAGTCCCATTTTATTTTGTCGAGCGCCTCATCGTAATAGTTGCTTAACAATTTTATTACCTCCCTCATTTCTGATACTTCCAGATATCTCCTAACTCACATAAATGAAAATATTCTTTATAAATCTGTTAGAAAAGCCCTGAGTGGCAAGAAGGAAAAGTGATCTACGACAACCCTGGAACTTGGAGAAAGCACTGCTGACATCTCGCAGCTGCACTTTCTGCCGTCTTTTGTCTTTGCAGCACACATTCCAGTTCCCAGCAGATCCGTGCCCCTGCCATGCAGCAGAACTGGGACTGCACTGTGTTTTCATACTGTCTGTTTCGCCTGAGGCATGACACTGTGGACTTCATGAAGCTCACAGGGCTGTGGCCAGTGAGTCTCGGAGGGGTGTTTCCATTGCCCGGGAAAGCCCTGTGAAGCATCTGCCCTGGGTCAGAGCTTTGGGTGGCCCATGACCCAGTGCGCAGCATGATCACTGCTCATCAGAAGCCTTGGGCATGACAAGACAGTGCTATGAAAGAATTATAAATGTTTAAATGCAAAATGATATATTTTTTTTACCGTAACTCTACCAGGAATTCTGAAGGCAGCATGACTTGTGTGTGCTAAGGTTATCAGTGACGATAATCAGAGGGGGCAGAGGCCTGGGCTGAGCCTTTCAGAATGAAAAGACTGAATAAAAAAGGAGCAAGATCCAAGGTCACAGTTATATCCCACCAGCCCAGGGGCAGTGAGCAAGGTAGGGAGATCTGAAGCCTACTGCCTAATTCACCTCCTACCCTGGTGATGGTCATTGTGGAGCAAGAGAAATTGCCAGGTCTACTGAGGGGACAGGAACAAACTCAGAGTTCAGTTGACCCTCCTCTAGGAAGTTCAAGGAATGGGATCCAATTCGAGAATAACCGTGGAGACACACAAATGTGGTTAGCAGATATGCTTGTTCTCCAGTATTTGAAATGCAGAAAATGCATCTCATACTATGTACCATTTCAGGATCATTATCAATGCACTGTCCAATTTTGGCTCAAACAGGTTTTAGACAAAAAAATTACAATGACGGGGCTGGGGATTTAACACAGTGGTTCCGCCGCTGGCCTCTCAAGCGCAAGGTCCTGAGTTCGATTCCCAGTACAGAAATAATTACAATGAGGAGAGTGTCCCTTCCTGAAAACCTTTCAAATCTTCAAATACAGGAAACTTATGCTGACTCTTACCTCCCTCCCCCAAATTGCAAGTGAAACGATGCCTGTGTTTGACTTCACTCCTTTATTACAGATGAAAGAGCCAGTGCCTTAAAGAAATCAATACTGAATTAGCCTCAAGCTGCTTTCTGGTTCCTTTGACTATTAATACATGACTAGAAGTATTACACCCTCTTTCCGCTAGCAAGACCTCTTTTGGGATCTTCTTGTACCCTACATTCAACTCTTGTACTACAGCCAGCAGTTCAGGGAGCAACGCAAAGACGACGACGTACTCTGGCCCAATATTTGTGTGACACATGCTGCAACTGTAGTTTTCAAGCATCTCCCTGTACCTGGGCACCTCTACAAGTTCAGTTTGTGCTCTTTCATCCACCCCAAAATGCTTGTGCTATAGGGATTTCCATTGAGCAATTCAGAGGAAGATGTGTGTGTGTGTGTGTGTGTGTGTGTGAGAGAGAGAGAGAGAGAGAGAGAGAGAGAGACAGAGACAGAGACAGAGACAGAGAGAGACAGAGAAGAGCATTTGCTTGTGCACAGTGGATACTCCCATGGTGCAGTGTGATGCTCCCACACCTGTGCTCCAGCATCCTCCCCAATTTTGTGTCAAGAGTCCTGCAAGCTGCCAGGCAAGTTTCTGAACCTGTGCATCTGTCCTACCTCCTGCACAATCATATACCTGCTGGTCTCCTGCCAGGGATAGATAAGGGATCCACACTCTAGTCAGCAGAAGCAGTACCTAGAGGCAATATCCGCACAGCAGAAAGAAACTCGGCCACAATGAGTGACCTGGAGATCTTGCTTAAGTACTAGCTCATTTGGGGACCAAGGCAAGTCCTTCATCCATGGGCTGTCCACTGCCTTTCCCCTGAGAAAATGATGAACCGTATGCTTTTTGTGTTTATTTAGTGAAAGTCATTTCTACAGTGAGAAAGCAGGAAGAGTTGGAAAACCATCTGCTCGCTCCTAAAGTTTCCATAAAATGACTCTTGCACTTCCATGAGAACATGAATGCTTCTCAATGGCCTCCACTCAGAACAAGCAGACCCTTGCCGATGCCCTGTGGAAACATCTCCAGGACAGACCTGTCCTTAGGGTAAAGGATGCCGAGCTGAGGTCAGATCAGAGACACCACTGGATGGGATGCTGCAGGCCTCTCCCAAGCACAGCAGATGCCACTGTGTACAGCATGGGAGGAGATGGCTTTTACCTGAAATCTGCAGCCCTGAGACCTGTACAATTACTTTCTTTCAGCTTTACTGAGGTATACTTTTCATACCCTAAAATTATGTCATCTTATGCACAGC